ACAACACACACACACACACCACACAACACCACACAACACACGACACGTACACACACACATTTATATATATATACACGCTCGTACGCATACCACACGCAACTTACACGCAACGATACAGGCAAAAACAAAAAAAAAAAAAAAAAAAGAAAACAAAGAATGATACATGTATGCATGCACGCGTGCATGCATGCATACATGCACGTATGTACGTATGTATAAATTTGTCACACGCACCTTGAAAAAACATTCTCGTCGACGGCGTGGAAAGCCGCCTGTTGTAGTTCTCTATCGGACTCTTTCGATCTCTTTCTCTCTTTTTTCTGTCGCTCCCTGCTCCGAAAGCTTCGAAAAAGAGAAAAAAGGAAAAAAAAAAAAAGAAAGAAATAGAGAAAAAAAAAGAAAGGAAGAAAGAAAGGGAAAAAAAAAACGGAACGAACGCAAACGAAATGTCAGTGTGGAAGAGATCGTAACCATAGACGCGCGCTAATTCTCGCGATGTACGTTGTTAAGATTGTTTATTATCAAGTCACGATGGAATTCGTCGATCGTGAGACAAGAGACAATTTAAACAGGTAACAATATAAAACGTTTCTTTTTTTTATTGTTGATATTTTTTTTTTCCCCCTTTTTTTTTCTTCTTCGTTAGTCTCGAAAAATATTGTCTTTTGTTCGTAAATTATCAAAAAATCACGTACGTGATTTTTTCCTCTCGTCGTCAAATTATTCTGATCTTTTCCATCGAAACTGTTTACTTTTTCTTCTTCCCGTTTCTTTTTTCCTTTGTTTCTTTTTCCTTTTTTTTTTTTTTTTTTTAATTATTTATTTTTCATTCATTTTTATTCGCAAAATTCGTGAAGGACGAAAAACGCATTCGAAAAATATATCGATGATATTCGAAATTGAATATTGAGGTTTTTTTTTTTTTTTTTTTATTCTTTTGTTTTGTTTTGTTTTATTCCATTGAAGGGAGTTTTTTTACTCTTTACTTTACTACTTTGAAGCGTAGGTTCTTCTTTTTAAGTAGGTAATATTAGAATCCTTCACTTTGGTCGATGCATTATATTAATAGAATCATTATTGAAGTTTCAGATTGTAAAAAAAAAAAAAAAAAAAAGAAAAAAAAGAAAAAAAAGAAAAAAAAAAAGAAAGAAATAAGTAAAAGAAGACACGATAAAGTAAAAGTAATGAGCAAACATTGACTCCTTTTCAGAATTTCACTCGAGTTTCTTTGTGCAAAGAAATACTAAAATATAGTAAGTACCTGTAAGGGAGAAATCGGTGCAGAAGACTACTTTTCGAGTCTCCGGGGAAATTGCGTTGGAAAATTTCGACGGCTCATAGATATCTTTATCGTGAGCAAATCTCTCAGTGAATAAAAAGATTTTCCGTATAGAAATTTATTCCCGTTTCACTTGAAACCGAGATTTTATAATAAAAATCATAAAAACTATTTATAACGAAAACAGTTTACACGCTTTTCCGCATATATATATATATATTCATAAATTATATAAAAATCATCATAATATTTATTTACCTACATCGTATCATGTGAAAGTGGAAAAAATGATTTTTATCATAATGATTTCACATGATCTCTTGCGTTCTCATTTTTTCCATATACATAATGATAATAATAATATTTTTTTTACTTACGTATATATATACGTAAAATCTAAGATCATTCAATTTTACATTTCAGTTTTGAAATCCGAGAAGAGATTGAAATAGATTTTAATTTTAATCGTAAGAAACGATCTAGAGTTATATTTCTTTTCTTTTCCTTTTTCTTTCTTTTCTTTTTTCTTTTCTTTTTTTCTTTTTTTTTTTTTTTTCTTTCGTCATTCGATCTAACTCACATCGATAAAAGTCCACGAAATATTTTTTCATGCTTTACACAATGACTTGACTAAAATCACAACGATGATTTATTTATATTAAGATTTAGAATCAATTTGTGTTCATTTGTAAAAAGAGAATCTTCTCGTTTACGTAATAATGAGTTCGTTAAACGACGTATATATATATATATATATCTGCCAACGATGATATTTTTTTATCATAGTAAAGGAAGACAAACGATTACATAAAGGAAGATGGTGTCAGTGAGTGGAAGTATGGAGGGTGAGTAGGAAAAGGTTCAATGGGAGAGTAAGGAGGGGTAATGGTAGTGCAGTAGTAGTGATGGTAATAGTGGACATCTTTCCAAGCGTGAAAAATATTAGGTTTGATAGATAGATTAAGTAAGAATAGGTTCTTTCCGAAGATCAAAAGCGTATTAAATATATCTAAACTCTGTTTTTTTTTTGCTTCGAAAAACCTTTTACTTCGTGATATTTCTATATAATCTTTATAAACCATTTGTGGGGAAACATGTTTTTAATTCCAATGACCAACGATAACAATGGTATAATAAGCATACATATATATATATATATATATATATATATATATATATATATATATATATGTAACTAATATGAGAGTTGTAAGATTAAAATCGTATACTTTAGTTTACTTTACTTTACCTTATTTGCTCGAGAGATCGAATGAATTAGATTAAATTCTTCGTCATACGTACAATGTAAATATGTATGTAAAACGGAATGACAATCGTAAAACTCGTCGAACTGGTTTTTATGATAATCGAAGTCTAGAAAATGTATATGAACGAGCGTAACTTCACGTCTAATTCAAGATTTTATTGTCGACATGTTTTGTATTACTGATATAAAGAAGAAGAAGAAGAAAAATAAAAGAAACAAAAAAAAAATAAAGAGAGAGAGAGAGAGAGAGAGAGAGAGAGAAAGAAAATAATTCGAGGAGAGCTAGATTTCAATCGAGATTTTAATTCTAGAAAAGCACACCTCCGACTGTGTCATAGAGAGATATCGATGGGTTCGAATAAAGTTTCTTTCAATCTCGGATTACCTCTTGCTTTCACGTTTGGTTTCTGGTAACCATTAATTTCTCTCTCGAGTGGTTCTCTCTACGATAAAGTGCGGCTCGGTGACCACGTGGAATCCTTAATGACGTTTCGAGTAATCGAGTTTAATCGTCTTGTACCGAACTTCCTAATTGCTTCTCCAAAGATCGAAAACTTCGTATAATATGAGGAATAAATTTTCAAATCGTTCGACAGAATTTTAGATATAGTAATTCATCGAAGCGAGACGAAATTATCGCCGATTTGAACAACCGATTTCTGAACTTACTCCGATATATATATATATATATATGACGTGATCGATAAATTTTCTAAAATCTACAATACGATAAGAAAATGTTAAAGGGCGTTCGCATTAAATCGTGTGGCAATGGTCGTTGCTGTTATTAATCAGTTTGAATTTTTTTTCTTTTTTTTTTTTTTTTTTCTTAAGCTTTTCCTTTTTTTTTTATCAGGCCTAATTCTAAACGGCTAAACGTCAAGTTAAAAAATATATGTTTCTCGTGTGCATGCTGATTTTTGAACGATCGTAACTCGTGAATCACAGGCTGCACATAGGCTGGACTTCTCGACTCTCTACTACTTGTACCTTTGCTGCCAGGTGATTCAAACGACGACAGGTGAAGGGTCATTTGGGTTCTTCGAGTGTTACACGTGACTATAGTATATTCGTTTCGCATGGAACACTGTGGTTACCCCTGACAACATCGTGATTCATCGTTTCGAAAGGGAAACAGTGGGTAGGGTAGTGGTGGTGTTGGTGGTGGTGGTGGTGGTGGTTGGTTGCCTTACTTCTGTTTTCAGTTTGTTCCGAGTAAGCACGCGATATCGAGGCTCCCTTTTTTTTATATTTTTTTATCGTTACATCGAGACTGATTAAACAAAGATAAATCTAACGAATTGATCTCTCTCGATGTATTGTCTCTGTTCAAATAATCAAAAAAAAAAGAAAACAAAGAAAGCAAAAAAGAAAAAAAAAAAGACAAAAGAAATATACCAAACGGAGAGACCTCGAGAGATCGATTTAGTATTGATTGTGATCTTTCGATTTGCAAATTTAAATTCGACACAACACACGACGACCTACTAACGAAAAAATTATCCACGGTTCTACTACAGGTATCGTACTTTCAACGAAATATCTCAGTTCTGTACTTTCAATGAAAACTTAAATTTCGCCGGTGGGAACAATTTATAACCCGTGTCTTGAAAATATTAAGACGTATGTAAGTATAAAAAGTGAATGCGTTTCATTAACCCGTCATAGAAAGCGTGCGATATAAACGATTAAATAGACGGATGAATGTCTGACGTCGTTTGTACGCTATACGAATATATATATATAGATAGATAGATAGTCAGATAAATAATTGTCGTCTTTCTTAATAAGATTTTCACGTTCCATAAAACGATCTTTCTTAATTCTTCGCAAAAAAAAAAAAAAATAAAAAAAATAAAAAAAAAAAAGAAAAACAAGGAACCTCCGTTATTTTTATCTCAGATCGATGTAACGATCATCCGATTTATCATTAGAACGTATCAAAGTATACGAAGCAATTAAGAAAGTGATAAAAGTTAACGTAATCCTCCTTTCTTCTTAATTATGACATTATGGAATAGCAATGAGGGCTACGTATGTTTGTGTATATAAATTTGATCAGATTTTAATTGACAAAACTCGGTAGAAAGATTAGAATGAAATGATACAAAAGGATATTAATTATAATCAATGTTAATTAAAGTCGTTTCTCTTTGCGAAAATATTAAGTTTAATGTAAATGAAAATTATTTAAACTAGTTACTAAAGAGAAAGAGTATGAGAAAAAAGATAGATAGATAGATAGATAGATATATAGATAGTGCAAGAGAGAGAGAGAGAGAGAAAAGAGGGAAGCTAAAAAAGAAAGAGAGATATGTGGTATAACGAAATGGATACTCGAGATAAAGTGTAAGGGGAAAAAAAAAGAAAAAATAAAGAAGAATAGGAAGAAAAAAGAATGGAAGTAGAGTGACATGTAGGAAAGTGTCGTATCTTGTACAGAAGTAGAAGAGTAAATGGCACCCAGCCTGAGTGTGTTATAGTTACTTTCTTATTCGTGGTTTCGCGTGACGTTGGCCACTAGAGAGCTTTTCGATTCGTTGAACATATTCGTTAGATATATATATATATACATATATACATACATATGTATGTATGTATGTATGTATGTATGTATGTATGTATGTATGTATATATGTATGTATGCACGTTTGCATACGTACCATATATACATATACACATATATACATGTATATCGAATGAAAGAAATTTATAGTGAATCGTAAGAGACATTTTTGATTCCTTCTTCCTTCTTTAACGAACCAGTAAATTTCTTTCAGAATATATTAGAATAAGACGTTGAAAAAAAAGAAAGAAAGAAAAAAGGAGAAAGAAGTATAACAATTAAATATTCATCGACACATCCTCTTTCTCTTCCTTCGAAAGATATTTTTAATTAACGAAAGAGGTGGCTCTTCTGTATTTTTTTTCTTCTTCTTTTCTTTTTTTTTGTTTTTGTTTTATTCTCTCTCTCTCTCTCTCTCTCTCTCTTTTTTATTTTTTTTTTATTTTTCTACCAACATAACCACGGTGCTATACGATTCACAAGCGATTTGTTAGAAAAGTGGGACAAGAGTATGTATCTTATTGTTAGTATAATACTATACGAATATTCTCCGAGCCAATTAGAGTATCCCGTTCGCTAATTATCCATATTCCCCTTGCGTCTCTCTCTTTACCGTTGTACTTATATAAATATCTATTTTGTACTAATTACTAATAGAGAAAAAGAGAAAGAGATTAATTTATACTTCTCTTGACTTTATTCCATGGCAATTGCTTTGAATTATTATATTATAACCATTTAATGATTGTTATGAATTATTCGATAAATTATACCGATTATTACAGCATTATAGACTAACAAAATTTACAATAATTAGAACGTTGATTTTGTTCCAGGAAATGAATGAATTATTTCTTGAATAAGAGAGAGAGAGAGAGAGAGAGAGAGAAAAAAAGAAAAAAAAGGAAGAAAAAAAAATACATAAATAAAAGTAAAAAAAGAAAAAGAAAATAAGCGATAGTTTAAATTTATAAGTACGTCGTGCGTCATGCTCGAATTAACACAGACCAAACGACGTTTTCTGCTTAGCACAAATCCGATTTTCACCTCGGTACTCGAATGGAAAATATGCGTCGTGAATACGATAGACACGGATCAACGTCGTCGTTCCGCATGCTGCTCTCCTGTCCTTGACACGGTGTCAGGTTTTTTTTTCTTCTTTTTTTAAATATCCTGAAAAACTGTAAAGATATATCGGCAAATCTGGTTTCAAGTAAGACTATAAGAATAGGATAAAACGATCTAAAAATTAATGATTGTCATTAATCTCCGATGGATTATAAATTTAACTTTACTTCGAATGATCCTTTTATTTATTACGAAAATTCGAATCAGCGTATTTCTGAATGTTCGATTATCAAAGACTCGAAATTTCGAAGAGAATAAACGAAACTTACGAAAGATTTGCAATAATAATAAACGAAAAATTCGTATCTTTTCTTACGAAGTAATATATAATTATTTAATTTCAACATTGTCATTTCTATTACGCTACTGCCGATTTACATTTTTATTTATTGTACTTAAAGTTTTTGCTTATTTTCTTTTTTTTTTTTTTCAATTTTCTTTTTTTTTCTTACGGCTTAGGAAATAGAACTGATAGGATCCCACATTGAAAAGATAACGTCACATTTTACTTTACGATAATAATCTCAGCGCCGAATATTTCATGTTTTATTTGTTTGAACGTAAAAATAAGTGCCTCTCTCTTTCTCTCTCTCTCTCTCTCTCTCTCTCTCTTTCTATAAACAAATTATTTCGACGTTTGAACGTCCTGTGACGTAACGAAAAAAAAAAAAAAAAAAAAAATAACCAAAAAGAAAAAAAAAAATAGAGAAAAGTAAAAGGAAGAAAAAGAATACCCTCGTATTATTATACATAATACGTTAATTGTGAGATGATTCAGGGATATTGAATAATAATACATAAGATTATTTAATTTATCGATTCCTCTCGTCGACGTAATGCAAGTAACGCTCACAAAGGTGGTCCTTGTTAAAACAGACAAATGTGGCACATGGCCACATTTAAATATTCGACCCTCAAAGACTCTCATAGTTAACCAACAATGATTCCATGAGTTTCGTCGACCTTCGACATTGAGTATGGTTGATGCCCGTGACACGAGACCAGTCAATGTCTAGAATAATTATATGTTATCTGTGTCCTCTCTCCCTCTCCCTCACTCTTTTTCTCTTTTTCTTTCTCTTCTTCTTCTTCTTCCTCAAATATTCACCTTTCATTCAAACATTTCTTAAATGATTTGTCTAATTAAAAAACAAAAACCAAACAATTCGATTCGATCAATTATACAGAATTAATACGACCGATTTTATTTGCCATTACGTCATATCCAACGACCTCAATTTCAAATGGATTTTAAAGCTT